TCTGCCTTTTCACTTATGAAGATCCTGTTTCTAGAAAGTACTTGTATTTCCAGTAGTAGTAATTTTTATGTTATGTTATGTTTTTTGCAGTGCCAGACCACTCATCCCTTTTTTGTTGATTAAGTGATGTATAGAGCATGTCATTAGTCAACTAAAATTTTCTTATGTTGACTACAGCCCAAGAATGAAAAACACACACTTTTGTGAAATTAGTTAAAATTTCTGTTCAGTAAAGTAGGATTCTGTTCAGAGTGCTCATTGTAAACATGTCCAAGCACATTAACATTTGAAAAAAGACTGAAATATGAACTAATATCCCTAATAGTCCCCAGCATTTCACAACATGTCCCTTGAGGTCAAAAATGTAGTTTTTGTTTTCTTCAATAAAAAGACAGGGTATTTTGTTGTTTACATTGAACATTCTGTTATTAATAATTCATAATTGATTTGATTGCAATATATTGTGGAGCCTTAGAGTGGAAGAATGACGTATTGTTTCTTCCAGAATGCACTAGTCCAGTCGGGGCTTGTCTGTTTGATTTACACACAGGTCACAGAATTACACAGTGGCACAAAGCTGGGTGATTCACTGACTCCTAAGCAAAGCGAATGGCCCCTACCCCGTACTCGATGTGTAATAATAATGAGATTATTGTCATACTTGCAGCCGGCTCCCCATTATCCTCAGATTAGACTGGTCCAGCCTTCACAACAATTTAATATGGACAAACATGCTGCGTCTTCATATCACTAGAGGGGGCACCGATAAGCCACACATCTCTAAAGCTTCTCTATCTGTCTGTGTTTCTTATAAAGAGGCTGACAAAGTAGAATATAATAGACCAGAGATTAACTATGTGGTGTTGTCATTGTACTCATATATTAAAGCGTAAAATATAAATACAATTCCTTACAAGTTTTTTTTTCTTTTCTCTGAACTATGTCTAATTACGATTTTCTCGACAACCATTGCGATTGGGGTTACATCTTTAGTTTTAATTATAAAATTCTATGCAGAGTTCACTTTTTATACACATCCTGAAGATCTGACAAGACTAAAATACAAAGTGACTAATACAAGCATCACATTTCAGAACAGGTTTGAACAGATCTACAAGGTTAGCCGTTTTTAAGCAAAATAAGACTAGGCTAAGACATACTATTCAGAATGTTCTTTGTGGAGGAAATTATGGTACTTCAAAAACTGTCTATTCAAATTCCTTTTTCGATTCGATTGTGATTAATATTTCATCTCTGCTCTGAACACAAACATGAACCAGACTGTGTGATAGCCTTTCTATGGCAGCTTCAATTGGAGTTATTTATACCAGACAGTGCTTTTCAAAGGTGCATATTGTAGTGGCTCGATCCCGACTGACTGTCTTTTGTTCACAGCGAGCACCTGTCCTGCGCCTTCACCTTCTTCTTACATGGCGAGAACAACGTGTGCACCAGTGTGGAGATCAACCAGCACCAGCCCATCTACCACCTGACCGAAGACCACCTCGCCCTGGCACAGCAGGCCTCCAGCCCCTTTCAAGGTGGGCTTAGATCTCTGTCTCTGTCATAGATACTGTTCGGCATTTTCTCACATTCAAAGACAAAAGTATAATCTGCCAGAATAAACAAGGGAAATGTGTTTCACAGGTAGTAAAAGACAACGTGTAATATCTAATTAGTATAGACAAGCTAACACTACACTGCTGCATGGTTAAGTAAACTCCAGTGAATATCTGTATGACTTCTCGGAGTGTGTAGGCTGATCATTGAGCAGTTAAATGTATGGTTCAGGCTTTGTGTTCCCAGGACAATGCTAACACTACTGTATCTGGCAGTCTCTTATTAGAGCCTGGATCACAGCCAATGTAAAAGGAAAGTCTCTGTAGTCTTTAAATTACAGTGTAGTGTAGTTATAAAAATCTTTGGCTGTAATGATATTCCATTATTGTTCCTAATTCATTTCTTCTCTCCATGCGAATGCAAAATGACATTGATTCCAGCTCATACATTGATATAATTTGAAGAAGAACTGAAGAAGTGGTAAAAAGTCAAATCAGTTCATTTATGTCTTTTAACATATTTTATACTTTTAACACAGTCAGCGGGTCTGATGAGAATACATTTTCTGACTCTAATTAGAATGTTTCAAACTCTTGATTTCCATCACTCTCGTTTTCTCAGTGCTCAGCTGCCTGCATTTTTAATGAAAGTTTGATTTGCACATTTATACCAACAACAATACACCAGTTTTATATATTTTAAACTAACTCAAAAGACATTTTTTATAGTAGAAACTTAAAGAATAGAATAAAATAGTCCAAGGCGGTGCTGATCCCCTCCTCCTTTTCTGCCTCCTTCTGCCGCTCCTTGTCCTCCTCTTCCGCCTTTTCTCCCTCTTCCTTCTCCTCTTCCTCCTCCTCCTTTACCTTCTCCCCCGCCTCCTCTTCATCACTTCCAACCCTGGTTTACTGTACGGCTGGCTGAGCTCTGCAGGATGTGACCTCATAAAAGTGCGCAGAGTGAATGTAATGAACTCTCAGCCCATTACACCCTTCTGAGCACATCTGACATGTCTTCAGGGAGCCACAGAGAGACTCCAGTCAGGAGGGAAGCTGTGGGGTGGTGAGAGCGGCAAATACAGGGGGCAATACAGGGAGATTGACAGAGAGGTCAGGTTAACCCTTTGCTTAACTGTTGTGATCCTTCCACCACCTCTGCCTTAAGCTCTGTGTGTCCAGTGATAGCTGTGCAGTCTACAGTACGAGTGACCTGGGCAGCAGGGGTGGGATGAGACGCCACTATCACAAAACGAGACGAGATATGAGATTGTGTCCATATTTTTTATATTTGTTGTCAGTGCCATTTTGTCCCTGCATTTTGAAACTATAGCTTCTCAAAGAGTGCAACTCACTAGCACTTTACATTAAGATTGGACAAAAAAGGGTTATTAACACATACATAAAACATCTCACAAGATCATTTTTCTTATTCGTGCACAATCTTGTGATTTTTCCTCATACCTACCAAACATTATCACAGTGTTTTAGTAACGTTGTATTGTCCTGTATTTGTGGTGTCCAAATGTCTGTATTCACCTATGGCCCTGTACTTAGAGTGTTTGTTTATTTATTTAGAAAAGCCATGATACACGTTCAACATTTTCGCAAACAAAAGTAAATCAGCTTCTTGTTGCTGGTATGAATTGCACTTATGGTTATGTAGGGCCAGTAGTAAGGACCATGGTTGTGATGTAGTGTTTAGGGGCGGCCAAAAATCAGTTATTTGGTTGTGAGCAAAAAGTAAGGGGACCCGTTTCTATTATGTTGGACGTTTTACATCAATATTGACATGAACCAAAAATGTTAAATACTGCTCTGTATGTCAAAGATTATGAGCAAATATGAGAAAAGGCATTTGTCTTCTTTATTACAATGGTTCTTTGTTGGATATTGTTTATTTCCCATTGCAAGTCTCTATGGCTAAATTCATCTTAACAAAGCAAAAATAAGTATTGCTAAATAAGTAGGGTTCTTTTAATATTTTCTATAAATTAAAAGTTGTTTATTTTGCATCACTCTTCTGCTATTTCCCTTCTTGTAAGTTCTATTCGATGATCAATAACTCATTGGTTTTCCAGTTTTGTAATCACAAAAGGAAAAAGTCCCCAGTCCCCAGTGTATGAAAGAGCCAGACTCATAGTGGAGCTGCGTGGCATTTCAGTCCATATATGTCTGCTTGATTTACCTTTGGTTTGTGTTTTGTTTGCATATTTCATACATTATGCATGTTAGAAGTACAGCCACCTGTATCAGCTGATGGATCTGGGTCTGGCAAAATGATGGCCTCTCTTCATGACTATTGTACTTTGCAGACTGCAAAGTAATTTTTGAAATGCCGTTGTTTTTGGGTTCTGAAAACTAACTAACTTAAACTTACAACTAAATCAATGGTAATTAAATTTGTTGTACTAATTGTTTGTATTGCTGTACTCTTTTTCCCTATTCAGTAATCCTGAGCCCGTTCGGTCTAAATGGAACACTCACTGGTCAGTCGTTCAAGATGTCAGACCCTCCCACCAAGAGGCTCATCGATGAGTGGAACCAGTTCTATCCCATCAGCCCCGGCACCAAGGAGGGTACATGTGAAGACAAGATGGAGGACATGGACTGGGAGGACGACTCTTTGGCGTCTGTAGAAGTCCTCGTTGGTGAGTGTTTGTCTCCATGAGGTATGAGGCTCCTGAGCACTGGTGCTGATGTTCTCCTGATGTGAACAGGTGGTGTCCGGATGGTGTACCCAGCCTGTCTGGTACTGGTGCCTCAGTCAGACCTCCCTGTTATTGCCCCTGTGGGGTCCTCCCACTGCACTGCCGTCTACACGGGTGCCCACCAAGTGCCTGCTTCCCACAGAGAGCCTGCTATGTCTTTGGTCACGCTCACCCCTCCCACCTCTCCGGAAGAGACACCACCAGGTATTCAATTCATGTGCAAACAGTTACAGCTACATAACACCTTATTCTTTATTTTTACATGTCAAATAAACAGTTGCAATCACGGATGCCCCGATACCAGTATCAGATATTGGCTCAATACCAGGCGCCAATACTGTAAAAAATAATGTCTGGTATCGGTTTCAGTAAGTACTCAAAATAAAATGCATCCCTTGATGTGATCTCCCTTTTCCAGCGGAGTCTTTCACAGCTCAAAAGTGGGTCAAAATGACTTCATCATCAGATGTCTTCAGTGTGGATAGAACAAATCATCATGGAGGCAAGATTCCTCGACGACTCTCCCACCAGGTGGTGAAACGAGTTTGGCAAGAGTGCAATATCAACCGAGCTCAGAACAAGTAAGTAACTGCCAGGCCAGAGTTATATGTTTATTTAATCTAAAACATCTATACTGTCCTAAACAGGCTTTGAAAGTATTTAACAAAGAATATATTACATGGGCTCATAATTAGTAATTCTAACATTCTCAGTCAGTTTTGTCCTGTACATTTTTACTATCAGTGAATCTGACACATTGGGAGCGCTCCAGGATCTGTTGCCCCTTGACCAAGCACAAAGTGTCAGCTGCAGTTAGCTTTAGTTAGCCGCTGTAATTCTGCTTCAAGCTGGCTATGAAATCACCCTTGGCACACAACAACTCTCAATTATTCTAATGAAACATGAGAAACATGTAGTAAGGGCTTTAACAGCACTTTTTAAAACAATGAACTTCTCATGAAAACCTTTTGTGATACTGATGTTAAAATTCTCCCTAACTACATTTGTTTTTCTACATCCTCTTCAGGCGCAAGTACTCAGCTACCACCAACGGTACCTGTGAGGAGGAGCTGGCGGAGAGACTTGGAGTGTGGGATTTTGTGGAGCATTCAAAGCGGTCTCACTGCAGCTGTTCTAGGTGAGTCACTAGATATGAGGCCCAGCGTTAGTGTGTGTGCCGCTAATCCTCCGATGTGTGCCCTCATATTTCAATATTAAAAAGAGCAGTCAACAGAGATTTGCCACTGAGCAGCAGAGTCAGCAAAATAACACTTGCATTCACCTCTAGGTTTTGACAAGCAAATTTTTCTTAGATTCATATTTTCTCGAAAATGGCAAGATTATTGGTCTCTACAATATCTGATGGGTTTTTTGTTATCTGTAATGTTGAGTATTGTAGCATGGTTAGTCCTGTCATGATGAAAACGTTAGAAGCACGGTATATTGATGAACAAAATAGATGATAAACAATCATTCTGAATGCCATTATGCAAGATAACTCTAAAGCAGGATTTGCCCCCCAAAAAGTATTTGTACATTATTTTTAATAAACATGAGTTAATTCATGTAATAAATAAATTAAACACTTAATTACTCATAGAATGTATTTATTTAACCCTTTTACAGCTCAAATATTCAGAAAAGTACAAAAAAAATAGCAAAAAGTTCCCACTAGTACACAACAGGTATCCATGAGAATTGACTGCCCCCACCTATCGTATATTGAACGATAAGATGATAGAGTATTTATTGTGACAGGCCTAAGCATAGTCTTGTTCTTTATACAGTCTATGATCACAATGTAAACATATTAAGTTCAGTGTGTATACAAGATACAGTTCAGGAAACAGAGTGGCCCGGTCAGTGTTACTGTAGTGTTGTGTTAATTTGATGAAAGCTGATCAACACTTGCTCTACACTGAAATGGCAAGCGCTTACACTGCATGCTGTGATCTCTATGAGAATATAAGATTTTCTATGTGAAATAACATTTTAGAGATGAAGTAATCACAGCCCTAATAGGAGAATGAATTAAGATACTTTACCAGAGTTTTACTATTTTAAAAACATGAAAAACAGAAATAGTTCAGAATACTGTTTGCAAAAATCCAAAATGCAATAATTATTTGCTGTGATGAATTTCTAAGCATGTTTCTCAACTTTCAGATGGAAGAACAGAGTTTTGTTTCAGTGCTAACAGCAATTAGCATACAGTATCAGCATCGTGGGCTGTTGTATCGATATATTGCCAAGAGTATTTTTTGGTATATTTTATTCAGTTATTTTGTTACAGTGCTACAGTTTTGTTGCTTGTTTAGTGGAAGGAAACTCATTTATGCAACACATTTGACATTTTCGCTGTTTTGAAGAGTAAAATGGGTGTGTTTCATATGAACTTTGCACAAGAAGTGGTTTAAAAAAGACTTTTAGGATCATAGTCATTATTTAGCCTTTTTTTTTTTTATTTAGTTGAAATATATAAAGATATGTATCATATCGTGGCCTATGTATTGAGGTATGTATCGTATCGGCATCTTCGTAATGATACCCAGCCATAATCTGTACTATGTCAAATTTTACTTTATCAAATCAGGTACAGCCCCCTCATTATTTGTGTATTCACTGGTTTGTCATGTCCCCTGCAGACACAAATCGGTGAAGCAGCGAACAGGCAGCACCCCAGGTCTACCACAGTTGCCGGGACAACCCTTACAAACTCCCACGAAGCACAAAGCAGGGGGAGACAAGCCAGAGAAGGGAGACAAGCAGCAAAAAAGGCCACAGACACCTTTTCATCATCGCAGTTTGACCTGTGAAGAGACGTCGATAGAGAGCGAGGCCACTGCCAACCAGAGGCTAGCACTACGGAGCCAGGAAGGAGGCAGGTTCACAAATATTCGTTCTACAGATGTGTCCAGCATTCAAAAAGCCTCTCAGCTACATAGTGCGCCGTCGGAACAGGCCAACTCCCCTCCGCCCCCACCCTTAAGCCCCCACCCATGTGAACAAAGTGAGGAGTCCGGAGAAGGAAACAAGAACCCCTCAAGCCCCAACAGTCAACACTTCTATCAACCACCGCCAGAGCCCTGTCTCGTGGGAGGGAAGAGCGGTGAAGAGCCAGGTGGTCCTGAAGGCCTCAGTCAGCACTTCCACATGCCCTCAGGGGTCCCCTCTTACCTAGAGACCCCAGAACCTACAGTGTATATGGGCTCAGCAGTCAATCTAGAGGTGGACAGCTCTCATGCACCATGGAGGTTCTTTAACCTGCCTCGCAAGAAAGACTCAGAGCTACCGGCCCTTCTACTGCCTGGAGACAAGCTGAGGGACGATGCAGCGTCTTCACCGGAGAGCTTAGTGTCTGTCACAGAGTAAGTGGCAAATGCACATTCTTATACATTTTATTTATTAAATGACCCAGTTATAGTCATGAAAAGCAGATGTATGTCTCTACTATTTGCCCTTGAGCTTCAAACTGTTCTGCTGCACTTATAAGGTTCATCTATTAATGTGGCCTTTTTGCACCACACAAGCCTTGCCATAAACATTTTATTTATTGTCTTTTTTAATTGGAATAAAATAATGATACAATTCATAATATGACAGTAAGCATAGCCATAAACAGTGACTCTGTAGAACTAATGACTGATCGGCGCAAGCAACAGGGAGTTTTCTTCAGATTTTGCTTTAAGTTAGCTTTATGCTGGCTAATGTCTATTTGTGACAGGGACAAGAGCTTCAAATAATAAGGAAATAACTGTCCTTTGTACATTCTACACTGCAACTACAGATGTAGTCAGAATGTTTTTTTCTTTTAGAGTCCATGTTATTAATTGCTAATAAATTTGGTCTAAAGTATTCATTAAACATAGTGCCATTTTTCCTGCCTCACCTTTCAGAGTGATGTCTATATCTAAGCATCCACTGAAGGTGTCAGATGAGCGTCTGCAGATGTATCGTGCCAGGAGGACTCAGTACCTGTCTGCTGCCATCACGGATGGAGACCACGAGCCCGAGGTGGACCCCTATGCATTTGAGGATGGGGATGTGAAGTTCACTTTCTCCAAGAAGGACAAAGCTGGAGGAGAGAGAGAGCCAGGCAAGAAGCATAAGGTAAGACAAGCTTTTAAATGGTTGCAGTTTTTTATAGTTTAAAGTGTATACAGGTCGACTGAGTAAACTAAAACCAACTGAACTGTGAAACTTTGTCATTGAGGAACTGTAAGCTTGAGCAATAACTGTTAAGGACAGCTAACACTGAATGCTTGTTGTGTGTGAGTAGACATGGGAGAAAATAGGCCATGTTCAATGCGACACTAATGATGTAAGCGCTCTCCGCATGTATCCACTTTCACATGTTCAGTGTACTTCAGCTGGGAGCCCCAAGCCCCTGTTGTTAGAGACAAACACCTTATTTTGTCCAGTTTTTTGGGGTTGTTGTTTCCCATCATCTGGCTTAGTGCTCCTTCCCTCTTTTACAATGTGTTTGTGCCCTGCCTTTGCCTGTGGGGCTGCTGTGCCACTGCTGGCTCTGTTTGCAGACAATAGCCACCTGTTAGCAGTGCATTGCCCCCAGCGTTGAACGAGACTCAATGTGTGTTCATTCTCTGGCTGTAACTTTGCAGCTGGCTTCACAGGGCAGAAGCCTAACCGCTGTAACAAACCTGGTCCAGTGAAGCATTAAGCTTCAAAAAGAACATTTTGTTAGTCTGGGGATGTCTGTAGTGTCAGGCTTTAGTCTGTGTGGGAATTTAAGTGTGAGTCAAGCTCCCAGCAGAGCGCTGTCTCCAGGCTGTGTGCAGCCAACCTTTGCTTTTGTTGTCTTCTGTGTGTGGTTGTGGAAAGTGGAGAATTATATGTACACATGTTATTGTGCATGGGGTGTGAATTATATGTATTTTAATCTAAATGTGTCTGTGTCTTGAAAATGGCCATGTAAACTTAAAAAGCAAGGGTAAAACACTGAGATATGATTATTTTATATTATGTAGGAGTTTTAAAACATAATATTTCCACCCAAGGCCAGGAGCAGAGACACATTACTACCTATAGATGGTGGCCTTCTGGAGAATCATGTTTTGTGTAGATTGCTCCTTTAAGGGAGACAGATTAAGGCCTGCATAGTGCTGAAAAAAGCCTTGGAGCATAATGAAATCAATGGCTAGAACATAACATTCTTATTTCCCAGCTCGAACAGCTCAGAGTCAGCACACGATGTACACAAGGCCTCATAAGAGCACACAGTCTGTGCTACACTCAGACACACAGCATACTGGCACAGGGGACGGACCTCCCTCATATTGATGTCTGGGTGGGAGCTGGAGAGGCCATTGCTTGGATCATGATTTCACTCGGATCCACACTGGAAATCTCATTTCGCACCACACAGGCCAACTGTGTTTTCTCTTGTTCCACCCACGCTGTCTCTGAATGCATCCTTATCTTCTGTTTGTTTAATTGGTGTAACCAACCATAATCAGGCCAAATTAAGTTAACCTAAAAATCACAAATTTTACAATTAGCTATTGTCAAAATAATCTGAAAGAAAATAAGATTGAGAAATATATGAACTGCATTGTGCATTTTGTCTGATATTCATATTTATTTGACAGGGAGAAGATGGCGGAGTGGGTCAATCTGATGGTCAGTCTTTATTTCTTTTCAGCAAGTGATTGCATATAAATAAAGATGCTCTAATATAAAATGTTTACATTTATGTCGACATTTTAACTTAAATTTATCTTTTACCTCACAGATGCTCAGAAGGGAGCTGCTCACAACCGTGTGGCTCCTACAAGTCTTTTTCACGAGACAGATCTGGTTGTGTCCATCAACGATCTGGACAACCTTTTCAACTCGGATGAAGATGATCAGGCTGTAAGACAGCATCTCAGCTTAAGACTGATAATGCAGTTCTTAATGTTTAAACAGTTCATTTATTTTATTTTTTTGTTTGTGCTCACAGCCTGGCTCCAGACGACCCGTGAATGGAGCTGATGAGAAATTTGGGAGTAAGGAGTCTAAACCATCTCTGGACCCTGTGTCATGTATAAGTATGTGTCTCTGTCTTCAACAGAGTTCACAACTGACACCTGTGTTTGGTTTACTTTTGTGACGTACTTACATGACTTATGGTTTAAATCTTAAGTATACTCTATTGTGCCCTCCCTTTACACTCTCTCCAATCCATGTGGATGTGGTATTTCCTTGCATTTTACTTTGCCCCCTGGTGGTGAGATAGATGAAATGCAGACAGTTTTCAAACTTTTAGTCTGTCTTTGTAAACAAAATCTTGTAAACTGTAAGTCATTAAATGTGTTGAGTCAATGCAGTGATTTGTTTTAATCTATCCATCAATTATCCATCCACCTCCCTCTGATCCCAGCTGACAGTTGCTTGTGTTATTTCAGGTTCTGCAGATCTGCATCAGATGTTTCCCACACCTCCTTCACTGGAGCAGCACATTATGGGCTACTCTCCCATGAACATGTGCAGTAAGGACTATGGCAGCATGGAGACCACCCCAGGCATGACCACCCTGGAAGGACTCTCATCTCTGGGAGGACATTTCAAGATTGAGGTGGAGGAGAGCTTCTGCAGCCCTAAGCCATCAGAGATCAAGGTGAGACAGTTATTTCTGTTTAAAGTTGTGTAAATCTCTGTTCCAAATACTAAAGATGTGCTTTGATGTGTAGGACTACTCGTTTGTTTACAAGCCCGAGCTGTGCCAGGCGTTTGTGGGCTGCTCCATGTTCGCTCCTCTAAAGACACTGCCCAGCCAATGTTTACCTCCCATCAAGCTCCCAGACGAGTGTGTTTACAGACCCAGCTGGACCATGGGCCGAGAGATGCCTGTCATGACTTTCATCAACAAAGACAGGTATCACACTAACTTAGTTCAAATAGCAATCTCAAGGCGTGCTGTTACTGTTTTGTTTATTAGTGAAATCTGGGCTAAAAGGTGCACAGTGTACCTTTTTCCAGTAAAAGTTCAGCCAACTGCTTGTCTTTATCTTAAAGATCTAATTTATTTGTCTATAATGTTCCACAGTATGGCATTAAACTGAGCTATCTCCGTGGAGTGGCAGGTGGTGCCATTAGGCCAAGTTTCAGGTTAGATCTGTGGAGAGACAGGCCTGCTACCAGTATTTCTGAGCTGTAAAAACATTAGTAAGTAATTAAGTAAATGCATGTTAGATCAGTTTAATGCCATATTTGTGGAACATTCTAGGAAGGGATGCACCAATCCAGCTTTTTCAGTTCCAGTACCAATTCTTATATTATGGTTGTTAATATCTACTGATAACGAGACTGAAATATTTATTTAATTTATACAAAAATATAATGAGACAAAACTGATCCATATGTTTTAAGTATCTGTTATTTATCTCTCAAATAAGTACTAAATGACTTTGTATAGATAAAAGTTAGGTGGAGGGTCAGGTGGAAGACCTTTAAATCAGTAATGAAAAAAAAAAAATCACATTTGAATTCACACACTAACACAGGAACACATTAATTTTATTAGGTTTCAATGCCTAGCACTACCCTACTATGTACTAAGTTAGATTATACAGATAGAAAGGCAGTATGCTCTTAGGTACTCTTGGCATATATCCAGAAGTGGCTTGTCTGGGTTGCAGCCTCTTGCAGCCTGTCCTGGCTCAGTTTGAGTGCTGCACTGGGACTTCCTCCTAATGGCCCTGTGTGAGGAGTTGTTCCCCATATACTGCCAGGGACATTATGTGCTCTCTCCACCTTTCTCCACCTCTCCTATATTTCCAGCCCACTTCTCTCTCTCTCTCCCTCCCTTCCTATGTTTTAACACTCTGTTGCCTGCCAACCCAAAAATAAACCTTACCTCATGTTGATGCTGTTTCCACATCTTTCTTACTCGCTGTACTTCTTAGTGCATTTTTCAAGTCTCTTTGTAAAGCTTTGTTAGTTTTGGAATTGCATCAAATACTACTTATATATTTACAAATATTTAATTGACTTGCTTGGTGACTTAGTAGTGTTTTTCTTTTCAGTAACACTTTATAACAACTACACTTTTAATTGCCTTAATAAAACATGAAGACTTCATAATAAACAAAAAGTTAATTATGATCCAGACTTACGCAACACCTTAACCGTAAATCCTAATCCTACCCTTAATTAAGTAATCTTTAATTAAATAGACACTAAGCCTGATTGATTCTTAATAAACTACTTGTAAAATATAAGTCTTTAGTTTAGGGATGCACTAATACCAATAGTGGTATTGTATATTGCGTATCAGTTCCATGATATCTGTTCAGTCGATATCCTGACTGGGCCTTAGATTGGATGTATTAACACTATTTTCAGGTTGAGTTTGACCGAGGACTTCTCATAATGTTTGAATTCATGCAAAGATGTTCTATAATTATTTGCAGGAGAAATAGCAGTCACATAGCACAATTGAATTTGTAATTAGTTAACTATGTTTTGAGCCAAATTATAATAATATTGGTCAATAGCGGATAACGGCACGGCAGATACTTAACGTCATAGCTGGATTAGTGCATCCCTACTTCAGTGTAATCTGTATTTCCAGTTGCATTTTTTCTACTCTATAAATGAACCCTCATTAGTTTGGAAATGCATGAACTGCCATTCTACTAATATATCTTCAAATATTTAATCTACTTGCGTGATAACTAATTGGTGTTGTTAAATACTTTTTTCCTCATTTGTCATTTTTTTCCCTTTCAGCAATATCCCTAGTGTGGGCAGCCTAATGGAGCAGGACTACACTCCTCAGACACACACCCCTTTCATGTCCAACAGTGCCCCACCGAGTAACAGTGGTGCGGGGATACTGCCGTCACCAGCGACCCCACGCTTCTCTGCCCCCACCCCCAGAACTCCACGCACTCCCCGAACCCCCCGCGGAGGACCCTCCAGTGTCCAGGGCTCGCTCAAATATGAGAATCCTGACCTGTACTCTCCCGCTTCTACCCCCTCCACCTGTCGACCTTTGAACTCTGTCGAACCAGCAACAGTGCCCCCTATCCCCGAAGCCCACAGCCTCTACGTTACCCTCATCCTCTCCGAGTCGGTCATGAATCTTTTCAAAGACTGTAACTTTGATAGTTGCTGCATTTGCGTCTGTAACATGAATATCAAAGGGGCCGATGTAGGGGTCTATTTGAGTGATCCGATCGGAGAAGCTCAGGAACAATGCACTTGCGGATTCAGCGCCATAGTTAACCGGCGATACGGCAACGATTCTGGCCTCTTTCTGGAAGATGAGTTGGATATCATTGGACGGGGGTCTGATGCTAGTCGAGAAGCAGAGAAAAGGTTTGAGGAGGTACGGTTGACGTCGCTGGAGGGGAGTTGTATGGCAAGAGGAGAGCGTGTGCCGGATGAGCTGGTTGGCCTGGTACAAGAACTATGCACTAACCCTTTTTCACCCATCTCGATCCTGGAGGATGACATCGCTACACGGGGCTTAACCAGGACGCCCTGCCAGAGAGTGGAGGAGAGAGACTATCGCGGAGACTGTTATATGGCATTAGAACGTGGAAGGCAATTTATGGACAATATGTCAGGGGGCAAGGTGGATGAGGCGCTGGTCAAGGGGACATGTCTGCATCATTGGGCCAAGCAAAATGGTAAGCAATCACTTCAAATAATGTTAAATTATTGGTATAAGAAAAATTAACCAAAGCTTTTTTTATTCCCCAGTTGTAGATGTGAATTCGTTATGCTCTCAGGATGTACTGAGAGTACTGATGTCGCTGCAGCCTGTTCTTCAAGATGCAATTCAGAAGAAGAGGACAGTTAGGTCATGGGGTGTCCAAGGCCCTCTCACCTGGCAACAGTTTCACAAGATGGCTGGGAGAGGGTCCTATGGTAATGCAATCTTTAGATATACATGAAAAACCTCATTATATGTTATATAAGTAGTGAATGTATTTAGCTACACAATACTGAATACTTGCTTTACAGTGCATTTTATATTCTGATATATTCTGATGCATGGTATTCTGAATTCTTGGAATATATTAATTTAAAGTTGCATTATATTTCAGTTAAGACTGAAGCTACTTTGTGGTTATTGCACTGTTTGTTATGTATTTTTTATCACTAGAGAAGGAAAAATCACACATGCACACACCGCAAGAGCTGTTTTTTCTGTTTTTCTCACTAATGCTGTGCGATTCACAGTCTAAATATCATGATTAAGTGCTGCCATGTATTACTTTGTTTATAGAACTACAGTAACTGTACTCTGAATACCACCAAATGGAAAAGTTTATTTGTTCATGTATTTATTTAGTAAGGAACGGTAGTTATCATGTGCATTGGACTTTTGAAGATACCACTCCTAGATGTAACCAAATACCGTTAATGAACATTACAATTCAGAATATGTATTTTGGAATTTTTTTTTGCTAGTATTCAGTTACTTCCCTCCACTGTATGTAATTAAATTGTAGCCTCACCACTGTTACAACTGTGACATCCTTGTAGGTGTAGCTGCTGGTGTTGTCTAATCCCCTATGGAAAATGCTGTCAGATCTCTATGCCCTTACACTGTAAAGCCCAGTGGAGGTGCATCTGACTGATCGGTCCCGTTTCTCTTCTGACCTGCTCCTGCTCTTGTCTTTTGTTTCCTCTCTCCCACAGGCACTGACGAGTCCCCCGAGCCCCTCCCCATCCCCACCTTCTTAGTGGGCTACGAGTTTGACTTCGTGGTTCTGTCGCCGTTCTGCCTGCCCTACTGGGAGAAGCTGTTACTGGACCCTTTTGGTTCCCAGCGGGACATTGGGTACCTGGTGGTCTGTCCTGACAATGAGGCTCTGCTCAGTGGTGCCAAAAGCTTTTTCAGAGACCTCACTGCTGTTTATGAGGTACTGTGAAGACACAATAGCCCTCAATACAACCTTAAAGAGGACATATTATATAAAAACGACTCTTATAAAATGTTAACAATACTTTGACATGGGTTCCTCTTGAATAACTGAGTTGTATTTTGATTGTTTAAATGCATGTTTGAGTAAACTTGTACTGCCTTGCATTTAAGGCTTGAGATCTCAGAAAATTATTTTTTCCACTTACTCCCTATCCCAACCTACTACTCTGTAGTTACTCCTGATTATTCCAGAAATTCAGACTCTGTAGTCATAAATGTTGGGTTGAAAAATGTCATATAGCTGTAAAAGCTGTAAAAACACAAATGAAAATCTGCTGCTTGCTTCGATGAAATCAGCACTGAAGTTTTATACAGGGAGTTTGTTGTGTTGCTGTTTACAATGAACAAAATGTAAAATAATTATCTATGTATGTGTAACTTTAATACCAGATACCCTCAAAAAACCCTAATATGTCTTCTTTAAATATTGGAAAATCAATAAACACTATTATAAGTACTTGTTAAATACAACTAATAATGATTGTGGTTTTCTCCTTGACAGTCTTGCCGGCTGGGCCAGCACCGACCCATTTCAAAAGGTTACGCAGATGGGATTGTTGTTGTTGGAGGCACAGTAGCTAAGAATCATTCGGAGCAGCCAGTGAGCGACTGGTTTCTCAAAGCCGCCAGCAGCAACAGTGATGCCTTCACCAAGCTTAAACTCTATGCACAAGTTTGTCGCCATGACCTTGGTAGGTGCCAATTTTATTCTTAGTACTTTATTTTTAACAATGTTTTTAATGTTTTAAGGTCCCATATTATGCTTTTTTTTGTTATAGATCTCAAAAACATATCTGAATTTGTGTTTTTTTCATTCACATGTTTGAGTAACCCTTAATTATTAATCTGTCTGCATTTCCAAAGCTCATTTAGTGGTAGTTTTCAGGTTAAACTTTCACTTTTAGTTTTGTAGAGATGAAAATTTCCAGTGCCAAAATTATCCAAATGATTCTAGTGAAGGTGTATGGAGTTTAAAAACAATGGTGAACTTCCTAAATATGCAGGGATTATTACAGAGATCAGAAAATAGCGTAATATGGCCCAAGCTTCAGTTTTGCGTAATAAAGGACCTTTATCTTTACTTATATTTACCTGTATTTATTTCAGCTCCATACCTCGCATCACAGTCTTTGGATGGGTCCCTCCTCACACAGCTCTCTCCTGCCTCTTCTGGTCAGGCGCCCACACAACAGTCTAGCTCCTCCTCTAGCGGCCAGCAGGGCTCTAATAACAACAACAGCAACAACAGTGCATCAGGAAACAGTTCTGCATCATCAAACACTCAGAATTCCTCAGGCCAGTCTGGCAGTGGCATGGCGTCTGTCAAGCCAAGCTCCTATCCCCCTTTTGGGAGCATGGGTACTCAGGTCCAGGGAAGTGGTTCCCAGAGTGGACAGCTGGGACAGCAGGCTGGGGCTCAGAGCACTGGCCCCTCAGGCGATAGCTCCAACAGCCAGACTCAGGCATCCACTGAGCCTCCTGAAAGGTACTGCAATAACAAGTGCCTACTGTTGAGTGTTAGAGGACATCACAGCTTTCTATAGGCCAGTAATATTTAATACAAATTGGGGAAGCTAAAATTAATATTGTTAAAATGCAGATTTTTGTAGTAATGCAGTGAGTTCTAGGGTCTTGTCACTAATAAAAAAGATCAAAGTTCATCATTTGCACATTTACATTTTGGATATTTTCAAAATTCCAGTATTTTGTAAGATTGCAATATGCAAATGTCAATATTATTGTGAATTTGCCATATACTTCTTGATACAATAAAAATATACATACTTTTAAGCTAGTCTTTACATAGATAAAACCAATATTAAACCTAGGATTAAGTAAGGAAAATAATACATACAATCTTTCTTATTCATTTAAAAACAGATTTAAATGTTTTATATTGCAAATTTCTTCAGCTGTTATTATTATATATTTAGTTTGTTGCAATATTGCTTATAATTTTGGCCAGTATAGCAATGTTGATATTTACTAATATACCTTATTATATTGTGCAGCTCTAAACCACATGTAAACCCTCTTCATTCAGTTATTTACTGTTATAGACTTGTATTCGCACTAAAACATGTTTTATTTGCAGCACTTTGGAACGGGAAAAGGTTGGCGTTCCAACTGACGGGGAGTCCCATGGTATCACATATCCCCCTGCCATCGTCGTTTACATTGTGGACCCTTTCAGTTATGAGGAGTCTGACAGCGGTGCAGTGCCAGGCCACTCCAATGTCTGGACTCTGGGCTTGCTCCGCTGCTATTTAGAAATGCTTGACTTCCTGCCCCCTCACATTCGCAATGCTGTTTCTGTTCAGGTGAGTCTCATGAGGGCTATAGCATTGTTTCATTATAGCTGCTGTGAATATCCTTACCTCCTTATCATCATTATAACAAGCACTAACTCTTCCTTTCAGATTGTGCCCTGTCAGTATCTGCTACAGCCTGTCCGAGGTATAGATCGCCATCTGTACGCCCAGCACCTCAAATCTTTGGCCTTTACCGTGTTCGCCCAGTGCAGAAGACCACTGCCCACCTCCACTCATGTCAAGTCTCTGACAGGCTTCGGCCCTGGTTTAGCCATCGACACTGCCCTCAAGTCCTCAGAGGTAAACACAACATAGTGCCAAAAGCTCCTCTTCTGAACTCAAAGCTTTTCACAAGGCACAAGTGACCCTTCTCTTAACAGGAGGGACAGTGTGTGGTGATTTCTGATCAACACAAAAGCCAAACTCTGTAACTCTCTCCCACTCAATCTGATGGACTTGAGACATTCTTACCTGTGCCTTACAATCAGTCAAAAAAGCAACAGTTGCAATTATTTGAACAAAAAGAATATGTAATGTTCTCTCCAGCCTTTATATTGTATACCTATGGCATCCCATGGTGCATAAAGCCTAACCTACTAACCCTGTATTTAGTGCTCAGCATTTCAGAAAACTTTCCTGTAATAGTTTAGCAGCTAAAAGTTACAAAGAAGAGACTTGCAGAATCATTCAGCCCTGGATGAGGTTTTCAGGTTTTTAGCACAGTCAGACCACACTTCATTTTTCCTACTGGAAGAGTGTCCTGGTAACACTCTGCTACCTTGCTTTTCTATAATTTTCCTTTCCATTATCTGGTTTGGACACTCATGGATTTCCAAAATGGGATTCTCTCTCCCGCATTTAGACAAAGGGGGATACTGGACTAACCCTAAATTGGGTTCATCTTCAGGCACTGATGTATTAGTATTATATTAACTAATATATTATTTTTCCAATATTTTTACATGGTTGCTGCTTTAGTGTTTATTAAATAATTTTGTCTTTTCCCTTCCCCATAACCAGAGACCAGAATGCGTCCGCCTTTACACCCCTCCCTTCATCTTGGCCCCAGTAAAGGACAAGCAGACAGAACTCGGAGAAACATTCGGTGAAGCGTCGCAGAAGTACAACGTCCTATTTGTGGGATACTGTTTGTCACATGACCAGCGCTGGCTCCTGGCCACATGCACAGACCTCTATGGGGAACTCCTGGAGACATGCATCATAAACATTGATGTGCCCAACAGGTATAAGCTCCTTTTAGAAGAAGACATATAAATACAAATACATAGGCTGTAGTGATGAAGATTTGAATTTGGTCAAGATAATAATGAAAATTTAATAAGCAAAATCATAAGCAAAAAAAAAAAAAAGAAACAAAGCTAAATTTAAGGAAAATAAAGTTTATATTAAATCTGTCTTTTACAACTTTTCTGGTGGAGAGTATACCACATCATTGCCTAATGTAGATTTTACTGCTCTGCTGGAATGTTCCACACTATGGCATTAAATGTATCTGAAAAGTATTATGTTACATTACAGATCTTATATTACACAAAATAGATTTTTGTGAGCTTTAAGCAATGTTAGAATGTTATTATTTCCTCAAAAATATACTTGGAGTTGTTTTGTTTCAGTCATAAATGTTTGAGTAACCCTTTGTTATTAGTCGACAACTCTAAAGCTAAAGCTAAAGTGCTTTATGTTCAAGAGAAATACTCATCTTAAATATGCAGGGTTTGTGTTAAACATGTGTGAATGAACAAAATAACAAAATAAAACTCTGTGTATGTTTCTGATGAGGAAACAACATTATAACACAGATCAGAAAATAGTGTAATATGTGCTCTTTAACATTACTCATTCAGAAGCTGATACATGCCAAATGGTGGTAATACCTTACACTATGAATAAAAGGATTATATAAATTTTTTTATTAATTCATAGAAAGTTGTTAATAATTGTAAAACTGCAAATTTCCTCTCCCAGCCATCTTAAATTTAAATTTGACATCCATAACACCCAACACAAAGATCACGCTTACTAAACAAAATTACTTACTTATTTTTTGCTATGTCTTCGTTCAGGGCGCGGAGGAAAAAGGGGTCAGTGCGGAGGTTGGGTCTACAGAAGCTTTGGGACTGGTGTTTGGGGCTCGTGCAGATGACATCAGTGCCGTGGAGGGTTGTGATTGGTCGACTGGGCAGGATAGGACACGGCGAATTAAAAGGTAAGGATTATAGCATCTTTTGTATGTGTTTTCTTTTTCAAATGTTACATCTCTCACATCCTCTAATGTTGCAGACTGGAGTATCCTGCTGAGTCGGAGAAACCTGCAGTCCTTAAGCCGACGGTTGAAAGAAATGTGCCGAATGTGTGGAATCTCTGCCTCGGATACTCCCAGCATCCTCAGTGTGTGTCTTGTTGCTATGGAGCCACAAGGATCCTTTATTATCATGCCAGGTACAATCATGGCACTTTTCTGTTTTGTGTTTTATTACAATTAAACCAAAAGGATTCTTGTGTCTGATACGAAAATACTGCATTTATTGGTAATTTTTGGTTAAAGGGGACAGGCATATTATGAAAATGGGTGTCTGTAAGCTTTTCCCCAGGTTATTATACTGTTCTCTCAACATTACCTTACTCAAAGTTGTATTTTGAGTAAGTCTTGTATGTTTGTGTAATCCTGTATTGTCATTGCATTTGAGGTTTGGGTGCTCAGAAAATTCCTGTTTTCATCTACCCCCTATCTCCGGCCCACAGCTCTGTAATTACTTGTGATTATTCCAAAAATTCAGACTCTAGAGACATACTTGTAAAAATGTCACATACTTTTTCAACAGTACAAATGCATAAATGAAAATCTGATGCTTGTTATGGTGAAATTCCACTGTGAAGAGGTGGGGTCAGCAATGTAGTGTTTCAGCCAAAAAAAACATTTTTATTAGCTCTTTTAGATCAGTTTATAATCAACAAAAAGTAAAATAATGATCTACTTATATTGCATTTTAATACAAAGTACCCCGAAAAAGCATAATATATCTTCTTTAAGCAAGTACTAAAATCAAGTAATAAAAAGTAGATTTGGTGTATATCCAGATGTCTTTTTGAAGTATGTTTTTTATGAGCGCAGCCTGGTTTGTGGGTGACAGATGGCTTTAAATCACACACTGCGTCACCTTTCTGGAGAGTGGATTGATGGTGGTGGGAGATCATGTACCATTTGCTCATAAAGCTCTCCCTCTCCTGGCCGCATTGATTTTTGGTGTTTGTGATGGAATGGCAGATCAGTGGGTTTATTTTTGGAGTCACGTGTGGGGCTGTCATCAGTATTGTTGAGTTTCAAATGACATCACAGCATTTTAGGCCAGTAATATTTAATGCAGATGGGGCAGCTAAAGTGAATATTGTCAACAGGCCTGTATTAGCTATTTTCTGATCTATGTTATAATCTTGATTCCTCATCAAAAACATATCTGGAATTGTTTTTTGTTTTGGTTAAGCTCTTCTAATAATAAAGGATTACTCAAACATATGTGAATGAAATAAAACACAACTCTCGGAATGTTTTTGATGAGGAAACACTTATGTGTACTTTGTAACTTTTTCATTGGAGGTAGAGGTCTGCGCGGGACAGAATTTTCAGTCACGTTCCCGTCTGCACCCGCATTGTGCAGTCCCGCTCCACCCACACCCACAAAGAAATGAAATTTTCATTCCTGCTCCGCCCCACATCTGTGATATTTTGTCCACTCCCACCCGCAAATCCCACAAAATGAGGATGTTGGCTTTCTTAAGCTCTATCAAACACGGAGAAGCGGAAAGGAATTGTCTAAAATGTGCATGAGATTAGACCACATCCACAAATTTAGGCTGCTTAAAATGTTTTTATTAACGCCAAATAAAATATCCAGCACAAATGATGTAGGCATACATTAATCATAATACTGCATATTTTACATTTGGTTTTATAGATCAAAAATACCTAGAAATACAGGCATTCTTATTGTGAGCAGGGTTGCCTTTCCACAGATCTGACCAGTAACTTGATCTGGTTTGGTCTCAAAGATAAAAAATGTAATATTACACTATAAAACATTCCAGACAAAGCAACTACAACTCAACAGGGAAAAGCATTTGACGGACCCTCCACCAGAAAAGCTACGCAATGTACCTTTAAAGCTCACTAGAGTCATGTTTGTATAAAAAAGGACCTTTAAATTTTATGTATTTTCTTGTGTGTTCTTTTAGACTCTGTATCAACGGGCTCAGTGTTTGGCCGAAGCACCACTCTGACCATGCAGACGTCTCAGCTCAGCACTCCTCAGGACACCTCCTGCACTCACATCCTGGTCTTCCCCACCTCCGCCTCTGTCCAAGTGGCCAACTCAAACTACCCCAACATCGACCCCAACCTGGATATCCTCAATGCCACCACTGGTCAGTACTACCATGAAAACAGTATGCAACTTTTCAGGTAGAGGTTTAGCTACCTAAATTTCTCTTTGAAGATGTTACTGCTTTTCCTGAAATGTTCCACAGTAAAGCATATCTATCTTATGTTAGGTAAATTACAGGTATTTTTATCGCTCAAAAATACCTGAAAACCATGCATTCTCATTGTCAGTGTAGTCACTTCTCCACAGATCTGAGCTGTAACTTGGCCTTGTGGAATCACTTGCTTGTTTCTTTGGAAATGGATATGTTTAATGGTGCACTATAGAAAATGACAGGCAAAGCAAAGACATCTCCATGGAAACGAGCAGCTGGCAGACCCTCCACCAAAAAAGGTTGCACAGAGAACCTTTAACATGGATTTAAAGGTGGATTTTGTAACTTTTCACCTGCGTGTCTCACTGGAGATGGTTTTACTTTTTCATCAGTATAGGTTGACATGTTTCCATGGTAACATCTCCCGCCTTTATTGTCTGATATAGGTGAAAAACAAAATCATTTTAGTAAGAGGAATATGATATCTATATTTTTCACTTGCATAGAAAGTTCCACAGTATGCCATTAAACGTTTAAGTTTTGTATTTATAAATGTTATAAAATGAATAAATGCAAAACGTTGCATTTATTGCTTTTATAACAGGTACAAACAGATCTGTACCTGTTACCTGGCCTGGTGACTTCACATGCTTGCAGTCCCTTTAATAGAAAAGTTACATAGTGGAGTTTTAATAATTACAAACTCATTAACTAAACTCATATTTGCCTTACAGATGGGTCAGATGCTATAGGAATCTTAGACCTGCTAGAAGAAGAAACTGCATTGGTTGATCCAGACATCATCATTTCCCCAACCAACTCCCCAGTTCACTCCCCAGGGGGCTCGCATTACCACCACGGGGGAGACGGTAGTAAGGTGAGGGTTCAAATGCTGTAACAGATCTCGGCATACTCTACAATAATGGAACAAGTTGCCCTCTGTTGTGAAATCTGTTCTTTGAAAGCTATCTTAGAAATGTAGTATAGTGTAATGTTGTGGCAAGTGACAGATACTAGTATTTACTGCACAGTACATTTGAAATATGTAAACTAACTGGTGTAGTCCTTTATTTTGTCCTGCAGAAAATTTCATAGATTACATATTACATTACAGGTGTTTTGGATGTTGTTGCTGTTTACATTGTTAACACTTAAGAATACTGACAGTGATGATTTTGATGTTAAAGGGCCAAAGCACAGATCGTATGGAGTCGCACGATGAGGTCCCCTTCCTCCTACAGCAGCCACTGGCCCTGGGCTATTTCGTCTCCACAGCCAAAGCCGGACCACTACCCGACTGGTTCTGGTCAGCCTGTCCACAAGCTCAAAACCAATGTCCACTCTTCCTCAAGGTACTTAAGTCGGCCATTTTGCTTGGATTATACTTTCACTATGTTTACATGCACAGAGAAAGAACACTTTTGTCCCAGTCCACATGCAAGTCAAAGAACCAAATTGGTGTGAACTGGGAGGTATGAGACTTTCAGGGTCATCTAGTAATTTAGCATTGGCTCTAAAACTTTGCAGCTGTAATTACTATTAAAAAGGCTATCATACCTATAACCTATAACTACACATACACTTGGAAGAAATAGATAAGCAACATCTCATTTAGGTTACTCATTGGAAGAACTGCGCTGCTCACTGTTCTTTCCAGCATTGCGTTCCAAAACAGTGAAACTACTTGTGCTAGTCTGTGGTAGAGGGACTGTAGTTCAACATCACTGATCTAAAATAAGTGAGTTAACGTCCAAACACACGTCTCATATTTTCCTACCTAATCTGCGCCTAATGCCAGCTTCTCCAGATGTGTTATTGGGATCTTTGAGATTTGACACCTTAATAATCAGGCTCAGTTTCTGGTATTGCTTCTGGGATTTGATAAGTCTGTTTAAATTGGACTAGCACAGTTATCCATTTTTCCTGGCGTGCATGTAAACGTAGTGAGCGTGTATTAATATGATCATGTATTAATATGTGTGACTGACCGTTGTCTCTCTCTTAGGCCTCTTTGCACCTCCATGTGTCTTCAGTGCAATCAGATGAACTCCTACACAGCAAACACACCCATCCCCTGGACTCCAATCAGACCTCAGATGTACTTAGGTAAAGATTTATTTTTATTAATACAACAAAACAATGCTCTATTATTATGGCATATTTCCTGTTTTTACCACATGCTTTTACTGGCAGAGGATTAGCTGTAGACTTGACAGCAAAAAATCAGCAAATATTTCTGTTAATGTGGAACCATCTTGTCTCTGTACAGATTTGTTCTGGAACAGTACAACGCCCTCTCCTGGCTGACATGTGATCCAGCAACGCAGGATCGGCGTTCGTGTCTTCCCATTCACTTTGTGGTGCTCAATCAGATGTACAACTTCATCATGAACATGTTATAACCAGGAGCCTGTTACACTCGAGACAAAGGAGGCAGAGGTCAAATGAGTGGCACCAGCACAACAGTTTCCAAAGACCGAAGAGAGAAACAGCTGTTGTGTGGAGGTGGTCCTGTGTTGTTTGGAGGTGGTCCTGTATTGTGTGGAGGTGGTCCTGAAGAACAAGGGAAAGGACAGGAACCAAGAGAAAATAAGGAAGTGTCATGGTGGCGCTGTCACTGGCCAGTTTGTACTGGGAGGAAATATCAGTAATTGTAAAGAAATTCAAAGAAAAGGGACATTTTATTATGGAAAAACTCAAGAAAGGATTATGAATTTTAAGACCTTGAATTGCTTTTATTCCTTTGGATAGAATAGTATCCAAATGAAATGCCTGCATCTTATCTTATTTATTGTAAGTTTTTAAATGTATAATTTGTGTTATTTCTGAACATTTTATAAAATAGGGAAGGTTTATATTACCTTCCCGCTTTAAAGCAATTGGTCTAAGATATACATAATTGTCTTAATTAAAAACTACAGTGGAAAAAAGCATAAAAATTGAACAAAGTACCAGTAGGTTGCTTTTAGAGTATTATTTTTGTAATGAGACAAAGTATTTGTATTGTCAAAATGTACAGAAGAGTTAAAGGAGAATTATGTTTCATGCCATGGAGCATGAAGGACTCGCAGCAAAGCTGTAGCTACAAAGGACTTGTACAGCAATGAACTTCACTGTGTTCAAATAAAGAGGTACATTGTTGTCTATAGTATTTTATACAACACATTTAGACACAAAACCAAACGGCAATATATAAATATATAAAAATTATATAAATAATTATATGAAAGCCATACCAACAGTTGATGGTTTGGCCTCTGTTTTAGGAATAAAGTGCATCAACTTAATGCTTGTGGTTGTGTATTGCTTTGTGGGAGGGGCAGATGTTTGACATTTTAAATGGGCAAAATCTACAAGATCTTTTAAGAGAAAGGTTGGTGATATTGTATAGACATGTATGTATCTACAGACAGGTGAAGCAGTAGTCAAAAATGTACAATGTCTTAGATTAATCAAGTAAAGTACTAAGTTTCTTAAGTAAAATATCTTATTATGGAAATATTAGAACCAAAAGTTAATGTAACTAATTTTACATTTGCACAAAATCTGGTATTTTCAAAGAACACAAAAATGAGACAAATGAGGAATATTCTACAAAGGGTAGTGCTAGAAATGTGAATGTTGCAATAATGATATACTTCCATATGTTAAAAAGTCAGTAAGTAAATGGCAGTGGTGGAATGTAATGAAGTTTTTTTTTTTTTTTTTAAAGATACTTTTTAAGTACATTTTATAGTAGATGCATTTTACTTTTACTTCACTACATTTGAGAGTAAGTATCTCTTTTCTACATTACATTTTTGAATAGGACTGAAAAGTTTTTTTTTTAAATTATTATTATTATTATTATGTAAGACCTGCAGAAAAGGCTGAAGGGTTTATTTTTAACATGTTTGTAGTTTCAGAAAACAAAATATACAAATAAATACAGCTAGAAAAAAAAACTACTCAATTCAATTCAGTTGTTTCTGCTGAACAAAATTCTAATTCAAATCTTTGTCAATATCACTACATTTGAAGTTTTATTAGAACTCAAAATCTGGGCAAAATGCTTTTACTTATTATTCTTTAAGTACATTTTTAAACTACTTTAATAACTACTTTTTACTTTAATACATTTACTTGAGGTTTTTTTTTTTTCCTCCAATATCTGTACTTATACTCAAATACAAAATCAAGTACTTCTTCCAGCGCTGGTAAATGGGCAGTGCACTGGAGGTGTGAGCTGTGCTGTCAGGGAACAGGGCAGTGCTTTTCATGATACTATCTGTCTGCCCACACGTAAATATCGTCTATGGTCCAGATATATTCATTATACTGGTCTGTGAATATAATGACGGTGACATGTCCACACGTGAGTGGCATGATCATAACATCTCTCTCGGTTTGTACTACCCACTCGTGACTCCCCGGTGAGGGGGGCTGCACAACCAGAAGCTGAGGTCTGAAGGCCTTTGTGCTCAAACTTTACGCAAAGGCACTGGGGCTGGTCACTAAAATAGGTAAGGATCACTCTGTCAATGTTTGTGCTTTATTTATATCACAAAAGACCCGTCCCAAGCACAGGACACGCGTAAATCGGATGATGATCAGCTCGTTAGCTTAGCATCGGCTAGCCCTAGCGCTGTTAGCATAGTTAGCTTAGCTGTGTAATGAATGACAACAATGATCATAAGCAGCCATAAGCAGCGCTGAAAAGTCGCCAAAGCCTCTTGGTTAAGCGCAGTAAACTCACCAGTTCAGTAGCGCGGCTGTCTATCCTGTCTCCTATTTAGTAATTAAGGTAATATTGTTTTTTGCTACTATCACTAAACTTGCAAGATAGTCGCCCAACAGCTAGATTAGCTTCTTTCATGCTAAAACACATACTCTACAATGTGTCATTCTCTAAACGTAAACCTTACTGAGAAAATAATATCCATTTGCCATGAAACATGGCATTCATCGTAGCATCCTCAGCTCTGAAGATGAGTTCATACATAATAGTCAATGGTTTGTAACTGCATGTGCATGGGGTTTGCAGTGAAGCAGTGATGGGGGACAGTGCGGGTCTGCAGTTCGTGAGCTCCTTTGCCTTTGAGGCCATGCAGAAGGTGGATGTTGTGAGGTTAGCGGCTCTCAGTGACCCGGAGCTGAGGCTGCTACTGCCCTGTCTCGTGAGGATGGCTCTGTGTGCCCCCGCAGACCAGAGCCAAACGTGGGCACAGGACAAGAAGCTCATCCTCCGCCTGCTCTCAGGAGTGGAGGCTGTCAACTCAATAGTTGCTCTGCTGTCTGTGGACTTTCATGCTTTGGAGCAGGATGCACGAAAAGAACAACAATTGAGGTAAAACTGGTGCTTGAGTCTCACTGCAAACATATGTACACTTTATTATTATTATCTTTATCTGTGATGCCTTCACTTTGCTTTGTTTCAGACACAAAGCTGGTGGCTCCAATGGGGAAAGCATTCTGGTGTCACAGCTACAACATGGTTTGACCTTGGAGTTTGAACACAGTGATCCACTTAGGAGACTTCGACTGGCCCTAAGTGAACTTTTGGTAATCATGAATAAGGTACAATTGTGTTTTTTGTCTTTTGACTTTTCTTTTGATAATAGTACAGCATTTTAACCTATAATGATATTTTTTGTCTTTCTGAAGGTGGCAGATTCAAATGGAGAGTTTTTCTTGAAGCCCTCAGAATTGTTTGAAAGTCCTGTTTACTTGGAGGAAGTTGCAGATGTTCTTTGCATTCTGCAAGCAGGTATAGACATGGTCTGAATATGACATCTGTCATGACAGTACTCAGAATAAAGCATATGATTTGTGTTCTCTCTTTATAGAACTTCCATCATTACTACCGATAGCGGATGTGGCCGAAGCTTTGCTACATGTTCGTAATGGTGACTGGTTTTTGTGTCTGCTGGTAGCTAATGTTCCTGACAGCTTCAATGAAGGTAACTTATAAGGTCTGATAAACCATGAGAAAGGGAGTTCGAATGGTGTTTACTAGCAGTTGTAATTAAGTGAGAAAACAAGATTTTAATGTAAGTCTTTGGAGCTATTGCATTTTCTCATTCAGCTTTCTGTATTTTTTTCTGCAGTTTGCAGAGGTCTAATAAAAAATGGTGAGCGTCAGGATGAGGAGAGCGTTGGAGGCCGCCGTAGAACTGAAGCTTTAAGACAACTGTGTCAGATGAACCCATCTCAAGCCCTCAACATCCGAGCCATGGTGGTCAGTTACATTCTTTTTTAAGCCTGTCTGTATTAGCACAACATTTTGGTAGCCTTTATTATATGTAAAGAAATTGTATATTTTTACAAGCTACTTTATTATATTACTCTCCATCCTTGTCTCCTTAGGTGGAGGAGTGTCATTTACCTGGTCTTGGTGTGGCGCTGACTTTAGATTACAAACCAGATGCCGGAGATGATGCAGTCAGTCCACTTGTTTCTTATGTCAGTGGTCTGCTTTTGGGTACCAATGGAAAAGTCCGCACTTGGTTCAGCATGTTTATTCGCAATGGGCAGCAAGTAAGGCCTCTGTCTTAAATATAGTTGTTTTTTTCTGTTTTAGAAAATTCTGAAGTCTTATGTTGTATTATTCCGTGCAGCGTAAAAGGGAGAGCAGCTCTGTGCTGTGGCAGATGCGCCGCCAGTTGTTGCTGGAGCTCGTGGCCATCTTGCCTCGCTCCCGCAGTACCCACGTCCCAAATGACAGAGACATGGAGGAGAGTGGGAGCTCAGGGCTCAGAGAAGAACACGTGGTGAAGGCCAGTGCTCTGCTGCGCCTTTACTGTGCACTCATGGGAATAGCAGGTCTCAGGTGAGTCACAGAATAAGTCTTGATTTGAGTAGTTTTACTTTCACTTCATTTAGTAATAAGAATGTTTTCTGGTCCAGACCCACAGATGAAGAATCAGAGCAGCTGCTGCAACTGATGACCAGTCGCCCTCCAGCCACGCCTGCAGGAGTCCGATTTGTTTCCCTCTCTTTCTGCAAGCTGCTGGCTTTTCCTACTTTGGTCAGGTACAAAGTATTCATATTTCAACATTGTACATACATTATGATTTTTCTCTATATTATTTTAACATTTTCTATATATTATTTTAACATTAAACTAAATTGTCATTTTCTGTCCAGTACCCCTGAGCAGGAGCAGCTCATGGTTATGTGGCTCAGTTGGATGATAAAAGAAGAGGAGTACTTTGAGAGGTAAATTAATCACATTTGTGACTATGTGATTGGAGTTAGATGAGTATTTTTCTTACCTGTATTGTTGATGTTGCGTAAGATGTAAGATTAATGACAAGTCTGACTTTCCCTGTCCTCACTCACAGTGCCGCAGGCGTGTCTGCTTCCTTTGGAGAGATGCTATTACTGGTTGCCATGTATTTCCATAGCAACCAGCTCAGCTCTATTATTGAATTGGTGTGCTCTACTTTGGGGATGAAGGTAAGATGGAGGAGGAAGTGAAGCAGTAATCAATACATCAGTCTGACTGACCAGCTCCAGCTCTGGCAATATCCTTGACTGTATGATTAATCAAACATGGGACAATGCTTAGGAATTTTGCATTCCCCAAACTATTTCTTTCAGCTGCTGTTCTTTAATATCAGTGACTTTTGAATTATCTTCCTCTTAATATAGTGTACACTGCTAAATTAGACTCCTTCTCAGTACAAGCACTGCATCCAGTCGTTACTAGAGAGCACTTATAAAACATAAAGAGACATTAATAGTGTTTAGTGTTCTACCTTCAAAATTTATTTTGTGTTTTTCCTCTTTTTGTTTTATTCAGATTGCCATCAAACCCAGCTCTCTAAGCAAAATGAAGACCATATTTACACAGGAAATATTTACAGAACAGGTATATTTTATAGATCTATGCTTATAGCTTTAAAAAGTGTTGTTTTTTTTTACTATATCTGAGGCTTACTTTGTCTCTGTAGGTTGTTACTGCTCATGCTGTCAGGGTGGCAGTGACCAATAATTTAAGTGCCAACATCACAGGATTCTTGCCCATCCACTGTATTTATCAGCTGCTTCGGAGCCGTGCCTTCACCAAGCACAAAGTTTCCATCAAGGTATGCCGGAAGAATAAGATAAGATCAAATTAGTATAAACAATTCCTCTCTTAAGTCCTTGTTTCTACGTGTTTAGGACTGGATCTATCGGCAGCTTTGTGAGACCACTACCCCGATTCACACTCAGCTGATCCCACTCATCGACGCATACATTAACTCCATCCTCACTCCAGCATCCAAAGCCAACCCAGAGGCCACCAATCAGCCAATCACAGAGCAGGAGATTCTCAATGTGTTTCAAAACTCTGCAGGGGTATGCTGATGGCAAACACTTAAAGGTGCACTATGTAACTTTTCTGGTAGGAATCCGCCACTTACATGTCTCTATGGAGATGTTATAACTTAGTCAAAATGCTCCGAAGTATGACAAATTAACTCATCAGTTTTGCATTTTTTCAGTTGGGTATTATTATTGGGTTATTTAAAAATAAAAAACATGCGCCTCTCCACAGGCCGAGCCAATTTAGCCTTGTACCATCCCCTTCTTGTCTACGTGGAGATGAGTAAGTTTAATGCTGTACTGTGTAACATTACAAAAAATATTCAAGGTGTGTGTAATTAAGTACCTAAAAAGCCATGTCATATCTATTTCTTTTACCTCTTCAGGAATGTATTTGTATTGATGAGTTTGTTTATGAGTCAGTTTATCCACTATGACTGCCCCTTTGAGCCAGCTGGCACAATATAAGAACCCCAAAGTAGAAAGTGAGCCCTTCACCAGAAAAGTTACACAGTGCGTTTTTATAGTCCAATTTAATGTTTTTTATTGAATTATTTTATTGACTTTTTTTTTTTTTTTTTTTATTAGCTCGCTGATGGGAGTAGAGGGGCAGGACGGCCACGTTACTCCATCACAACTCAACTTCTTATTCTTTATTACATCTTGTCTTATGAGGAGAACCTGTTGGCCAGCACAAAGCAATTAGGTAATGAATTTATGTGCCCTTTTCCTCTTGTACAGTAAATAAATGTGTGCGTGACATATGGTGGAAGGTGCACTGGCTATGGGTGCTAGGCTAAGGGTGGACTGAACATTAGCAGTTAGCCTCGTCAGTGTTTATTTTCCCCTATGATGAGCTCTCCAACTGCCCTTCATTAGGCTAGATTTATGTGAGACTTATGCCTGTCCCTTTAATTGCTCTGTTTACCCAAGTACAGAGCCAGAGAAGAAATAATGATGCTATCAGCACTGGTAATCACCACAGGTTTCTGAGGAATTGGGGCTGGGAGAGTTTTTTTCCCCCTCACATTGATTCATTTAAATTTTCAAACCTTTTTTTTTCTCTTTTTAAATACAAAATAGAAATGGCTTCATTACATAAATCAGTGTCATTTAACCTAAAAATACCCAAATTTCTTCTGAAGTCCAAAATCAGCTCCAAACCTTACATTTTAACTAGAGTATTGGCTGTAGACCGATCGACATGATTCTCAATCTCTATTCAAATTTGATTCGTTATGAAAAAATCACCTGCTGAGATTGTCTCCAGTACTACATTACTCTTATCTTTTTTTTTTGTAATTTCATAATACTTTTCAGCCGCTATGCAGAGAAAGCCCAAGTCATATTCGGCTTCCCTTATGGACCAAATTCCCATCAAGTATCTGGTTACCCAAGCTCAGGGACTGCAGCAGGAGCTTGGGGGTAAGGCATTGTCTGTGTTTTTGCCTGTGTAAAATATAAATTGTTAACTAAATCCTTGTCCTTCTCCAATAGGTCTCCATTCAGCCTTGTTGAGGTTGCTGGCTACAAACTACCCACACCTCTGTCTGGTGGAGGACTGGGTCTGTGAGGAGGAAGTGACTGGAACTCTGCCTTTACTGAGAAAGATGATGCTGCCAAGCAACACCTGCAGATACACGCAGAGCCAGCTTCATCAGGGTGAGAGGGAAGCTGAGGACAGAGGCTCAATGCATCACAGATATCAGAGGGAATTTTTAAGGAGAAAAATAACTATCTGAAAACTGCACATTTATATTGTAACATAGCATATGTACGCTTTGAAGTAAAAAACAAAATATCCTCTGCAGCTTAACATTAGCCAGTATTTGACCACATTTAAGGACTCACTAGTGAACAAAGTATGTTTTAGTCAAGTTTATTCTCACAGTTTTACCATAGTGACATCATAATGGAACCCTAGTTGAACAATTCACATACATATAAACTTAAAAGTAAAAAATATTATGTCTGCAGCTTTCCAGAAGTTACCCTCGAGCAGTCCACGGTTGATGCGCATCCTAGAACAGCTCTCTCTACTGCCACCTGCTGATCTCATCCCGTACGCAGAGACGCTTACGACCAGTATGGCGTTGCTGCTGGAACCGTCAGTCCCGCGGAGGATCGTTCAAACTCTCAACAAGCTGTGGATGGCCCTCAATACTGTGATGCCCCGAAGGTAGGTTCTAAATCAGACCTGGACACTTTGCTGTAATCCAGATGGTTTTTCATTAATATTACAGTGTAACAATGGATTATATTACCTAATATTTTGCATTTGAGAATGCCTTGATTTGAGTATGGCCCTCGGGGAAAACATTATTTAATCGAATTAAGTGATGAGTGGCACTACACAAATTAACTCTGTGAATTTAAACCAAGCGTTACAGTTGGATTCAACACTGGTTCACTATTGGATCACCATAATCCCTCAGTGTTGTGCTGAGTGCTATAGTTGCTTCACAAGTGTGTAAATTGATTTAATGGAGCCCCCTGGAAGTCCCAGTTGCTACTTCTAACCCTGGGCTCAGTGTTAAATGAATATAGTTTGAATAGATTTTTGGTATTGAGCTAAGCAGTTACATGAACATGGGGAGAGTGACCTCTGCTCTGCCTTGAGGCCCACCAGACTAGGATACTAAAGCTCCAAGCAGACATCCTATTGATTCAAGGGCATCTCTGTAACACAAGCTGCTGGGGGCCAAAAAACTCAAGGTAGTGAGTGTAAGAGCAAGAATCCTTTCCCCTCTTCCTTTTCGACCTGTTGTAGTGGCTCTGACATTGTAATAAAATTAAACTATGTTCTTTTGTAAATGTGCTTGTTGTGCAGGTTGTGGGTGATGACAGTGAACGCTCTCCAGCCTTCAGCCAAACTCCTCCGGCAACAGAGATACACCCAGAATGACCTGATGATCGACCCTCTCATCGTCCTCCGCTGTGACCAAAGAGTTTTCAGGTAACCGCCTCTGTTTAGCATCAAAGAATCATTTAGTTTTTATTTTTGCATATTTTCTGTTTTTTTTTTTTTTACCCAAACATTTATTGGTGTAACATTTGTGTAGGTGTCCTCCTTTTATGGATATCGTCCTTCACATGTTGAATGGATACCTGTTGGCCTCCAAAGCATACCTCCACTGTCACCTAAAGGAGACTGCAGACTTTGACCGGCAGAGTCTGACTGTGTCGAGCCTCGGGGCGCCCGGGCAACCAGACACACCTGAGGTTACGCGAGAGGAGCTCAAGAACGCATTGCTGGCAGCTCAGGTATTTGCACTTTTCAACTCAAAATGACCTGTCATTTAAAAATACTGGACGATGGTTTTAACAGAACAGTGTTTTAATAGGATAGCGCTGCGGTCCAGATCCTTCTGGAGGTGTGTTTACCAAACACAGAGGAGCAGCAGTTGGGGGCCAGCACAGAGAGCCTTCTGAAGAGCATCAGGGACCCTCTGCCTGTGAAATCCAAAGAGGAGACCCCTGGAGCTAGAGCCAGTGGGAGCACAGAGACAGCAGCAGAGTCAGGCCTGTTCAGTGACCTCAGGGAGGTGCAGTGTCTCATCTGTTGTCTGTTGCACCAGATGTTTATCGCTGATCCTAACATTGCCAAGCTCGTCCATTTTCAGGTAATTTTTTTTTTTACTACAAGTTGGACTTTAGGGAATGTAAATTGGTTATAATAAATGAGTAAAAATGAAGTAAAAGTAGTGTTGAATATCTGACTTATGTTGCTTTGTTTCTTTGTCAGGGTTACCCTCAAGCTCTGCTGCCTCTGACTGTAGCAGGCATCCCCTCCATTCATATCTGTCTGGACTTTATCCCAGAGCTCCTGGCACAGCCCCAGCTGGAGAAGCAGGTGAGGCCTCTGTCTTTAACTGCTTTTAGCACTAGAGACTGGGCTCTCCAGAAAACTCTTAAAACAAATGTGTTGGCTTTTTGACTGTAGTGGCAACAGCAAATTATATATACATAATGTAATATAGTTTTTCTCCTATAGATCTTTGCCATCCAGTTGCTATCACATCTGTGTACACAATATGCCCTTCCCAAGTCGCTCAGTGTGGCCCGTTTAGCCATTAGTGTCATGGGGACACTTCTCACAGGTCAGTGGACAGAAAAGTTATGGTTATATGGTAATTGTGAATCTGATGATTGCAAGACTTTACAATACTGGTGAAAAGTAAACTGTTGTGTTTTTTGAACTTGGGTGCCATCTTCTGGTGCTTTCTTGTTTGTGCAGAACTTTGTAATCATAATATATAGATGGTATTTATCTTGTACTTTGTAAATACTCATTGTTCTCCGGTTGTTCTTTCTAGTCCTGACCCATGCCAAGCGCTTTGCCTTCTTCATGCCCACACTGCCATGCCTGGTTGCGTTTTGCCAAGCCTTCCCTCCGCTGTACGATGATGTGGCTGCTCTATTGGTACAGATCGGACAGGTCTGTGCCTCTGATGTTGCCACCAAAGCCAGAGACATCGACCCCCTGATCGCACGTATGTACTACCATATGCTCAACTTAATGTCTTTACTGCATAGTTGGCAGTTGCATTACAGAAAAAAACTATTTGACAGAGGCACTTATTTTAAGGTGGGTCTGTGCACTCAAGTTTTAAGTGAGGGACTATTGTTTATAATTGTCAATGATCAGCTTTGTAAAGAGACAGTCCTCTGTCAGTAAAAGCATGTGAGTTCAGAGGAAGACATTTTTAATGTTGTGTTTTTGTTTTTTTGTGGATTTGTTAAATGGCAATGATTTTAAAATGTCATGTTTATGTTCAAGAACTTAATATTGAAAGTAGTTTGTTTTTAATAAGACCCGTAGACTGAACTAAGTGAGCATTTGGCTCCAGTCAAATGAAGCTCACTGAGGCTGGTGGTTATGGGGGCAAACTTGGAGCCAGCTCCATATTAGGAATAACACAGTCAAAAAGCAAAATAAAAACACCAGGATCATGTAGAGTGGCTTAATACAAACATTTTAAGACTGAAATGAGCAGCCTGGGACTAGAAGGAAGATGATTTATATATACACATTCTATGGTAAGAGTAAATAAAATAAATAAATAAATAAAAAATGATATATATATATATATATATATATATATATATATATATATATCTATATATCACAACATGAGGTTAAGATTTATTTTTTATTTTCAGGTTATGTTCCATTTGTTTGTTTATTGTAGTTTGACTGTTTTAAGTAGCTTTTGTTTTCCCATTTTCAGGCCTTCAGTACATGAAAGAGAAACCCCAAGAGGTGATGGTCTCTGGAGGAGGGTCTTCTATGACGTCAGCCCAGAGAACAGCAGAGGAACTGGGGGGCTCAGACCCTGACGTGCAGCTGTGCTACTGTGTGGAGGCTACGTTTATGGACATCATCAGCTCCACACTGCACAGACTATAGACTCAGTACCACAGGTTTCTGACACATAACCATTCATTTATTCACAAAAAAGTGAATAAATAATTAATGGTATTGGTCAGAATTAGACTAGACTTAATAAAAGCAAAATCATAATACAGTAATTACTAAAATTAAGCCTAAATTGATGTAAGAGGGATACTGGCTAACTATTCATGAAAGAGCTTTGGTCAAGTTTAGGTATTTTTTGTTTTTGTTGTAGCACATACTTTTGTACAGAATGATTAAATAATTTTTAAACAAAAATGGTCAACCATCCAGACGATAATAAATTATTACTCTGATGTTTGAAGGTAATTGTTTTGTGTATTGTATTATTACACTTTGTAGAAAATGTATGTGCTGTTAGTCAAATTGTAAATGTATTTTTCTAAATATTCTTTTCTACAGCTGAAGCACACGGCCTTAAATTGTAGCGCATTTGTACTTTTGTTGTTTGTAGTAAAACAAGTGTCATATATATATATTTGAGTGTGTGGCATTTTTCATCTCAATACGAGCTCATTACCAGCAGTACTTGCTAAAATATTAGAATGACCATTTCTGAATTGTAAGCATGGGTTAATGAGTTCATAGCTCCACATTTAACCTTGTATTTAATTCACATTGTCAATTTCTAAAAGACACACCAGAGGGCACCCTTGCCACATGAAACCGTCATGTTGCCTTGAACAGCAAAGGATTACATTATTTTGCCTTTCACAAAGTCTAAAAGCTCTTATAATGTAGTCCATCACTTTAAGATATTTTAATTAAATTCATGAATGGACAGATTCACTCTTGCATATCTCCATGGTGACATGCTATGTTACAGGTCAGATTGGTGGTTTAGTGTGTTCAGAAAATAATGCATGTTTATCAAAGTAGGTTTAGCCATAAAACAGTCCCATAATTCAATAAATGCAAGATAGATATGTTTAAAGCCATAATGTGAAACAATCCATGCAAAGCAACAAATCTGTGGGAGACAAGTAGCAGACCCTACACCACGAAAGTTACATAATACACCTTTTAAATACAAATGAAGTTAACAAAATAATTTGGAGAATATGTAGTCTATATGATAGCTTTTTATCAGAGCTTAGAGACGTGTAGCATTCAGCCTGTATAACAGATGTACCTCCCTCCACAGTCTGCAGCAGTCTGTGCTGTTCTGTTGTGTTGTGCTGTGAGACACGCCTGGAGCAAGAGTGGGTGAAATCACAGAGTGCATTTGTTTCTACTGTTGTTCTGGTGCAGAGCTAACAACACAACAGATACAAAGCACCACAGTGTGAATGAGGATGCAGCTAGGCAAAGAAAAAAAAAACTCACCTGGGTGTAGCCTAGGCCCACATCACCTTGGAAAGAAGCTGCTCAATTTGTAAAATAGTATAAATAACAGAAATACTTTTGCACTGTATAATTAAATACTCAACTTCTGTCTAAATGTTGAAAATTACAAGTAGCAAGTAAAAGCTAAAAGTTAAAGTGATGCAGTAAAACAGAACAATTTCTGTTATGGCTTCTATAGTTCATCATTGTCCACATTCAAACTACACCTTAAACTGTGGATAAAGGAAAACCAAGCCTCATCTGGTCTTCTGCTGTTCTGTGTTATGTCTCTTTGTGTTGTTTTCTGCTGTTTTGTGTTTTGTATATTTAGTTTTCCGTGTCACCTGCCAAGGGACAACAGATGGAAATGAGCATTTTTGCTATAACCTGTCGTATTTACACTAATAAAAAAAAATAAAAAATCACCAACTTTTTAAGGCTGGGGGCTATTTCAAGAGTATCAGACTTACTTCAATCACATTATTAAACCCAAATTATATAATCTAAAAGTAATATGGACCTGCCAACAGATACATAAAGCTCATATCACCAGCTGGCCAGGCCTATTTATTAAAAAAAAATAATAAATGTTCGCTACTTGATGAGTTCGAGCTTTGTTAGTGGACTCTTTTACCCCTTCTGTTTAAAGAACCCTAAATCTGTTCAGGAATGCTCTTTATCTGCTACTAATGTGCTCCACAACTCCGCCAACTTGGTCCTCATCTTCACAGAGGTCTATAGCTTCTGCTGTTTACCGACTGCTGGTAATAAAAGACATGCTTTTAAGAGGCAGCAGAAACCCTCTTCAGTTTCTAACAAGAGTCATTGAAGGAAGCGGCACATTCTCTTGTCACTGGCCTCTGCTACTCTTTGTCAGAAAGCCACTTCAGGTATAAAGCGGAGCGACGCTCGTGCTCCCTCTATTGCACAGCCGTCTGCAAGGACAGTAGCGCTCGCAGTGTTTGACTTTTCAGACATGCTCTTTGAATTTGTTCAGTGTCTTCACTGAACCACATGCCCCATTCACTGCAATGGCACATCTTATTTTATTGTTGTGTTGGTAGTTTGTGATATAGGTCTGATTCTTAAATTCCTTTCATTTTACAGTCCCTTTGAGTTGATAAAATGCCCTGCTATTTTTGAAGCAAGAATACTGTTAAGAAAGCTTAGTCTAGCAAAAATGCACCATGTCATAAGAAAGAGCACCTTATGGATGACCTTGTAGACTGCTTTGTTCGTCTGCAATACAAAACATAATGTAAAATACATTTTCTGCTCCAGCATATGCCAGTTACACAGGCACAGGAACTTTCATGTGTAAGAAGTCAAAAATATATATTCTTACAGAGGGCTGCAGTGAAGTCAACAACAGGTGTCAGCTGGAAGAAGGTCCTCCCTTAGAGTCAAGCACCATCTACAAGCATGAAATGTTTTATCATTTAAAATGTTTTCACATTTCTTAGGCTTGGCTGTGATTATGAAGCTTAAAGGTGCTCTATTACACAAAATTGTGAGCTCACTCTCTTTGTAAGCTTTAAACCATGTTAGAATGTTGTTCCTCAAAAACACACCAGGGACTGAGTAACCTTTTATTATTAGTTTGTCTACATCCCCAAAGCTCAAAATGCTCTGTTGCACCTTGTCCTGTAGCAGTTTTTTTATTTATTTATTTTTTTTTTCAATTTAACAGCTATCTTTTACCTTTTGTTCAATAGAGATGGGCAATTCCAGGACTTAAATCATCCAAATGATTCTAGTGAAGGAAGGTGTATGGAGTTTTAAAACACAATGGAGCACTTCCTGTATTACCACATGGCATCACAACGTGGAACAGGGTGTTTGAAGAGTCTGAGAGAATAACTTGGCAGAAATATGAAGGGGTTTGTGTGTTAAACATGTGTGTGAATGAAACAAAACACAACTGTAGGTAGCCTATATGATGAGGAAACACCATTAGAACATAGATCAGAAAACAGTGTAATATGGGGCTGTTAAAATGATTTGTTTATTTGCCCGTATCTATACTGTACATTTTCCCTGTTGTCCCTGTAGTAAAACGCGGTGGTTTGATCAAAGTGTTGAACAGAGATTTGCCTCAGATCTGCCTCCGCCGCTCCTCTGCTCCTAAACCAGAGGCTCGGGGATTTGATTACACGGAGCAGGAGCACTTTGTCGGGCCTGAATACATTCTTCTCAAAGTGTTTCCAGGAACAAAGAGACGCCATTAAAGCTGTCGTAACACCCTCTCCAACTTTTGATCGCACTCCCCTCATCTGAACAGTGAAGCGCCCCGGAGAACACGATTGAAAATTAATTGGCATCGTGTCGTGGTACGTATTTACATTATGCGCTTATAAAGATGCAATTAATTACGAGATATGAACAAATCTATGGAGGGATGAGATGCGCTGCGTATCCAACTCTATCCTCTTTTCCTGACTGCCTGCTGTCTCTCAGAAGGATAGAAGCTACAGTAGACACAGTTATTTGTAATAGATCCTTGAGACAGACATGCCAATTAACCACAGCCTCCAAACCTACCTGAGACCTGCACGAGGAGCTCCACGTGAGTTTTGGTAGCATGGGAGCACGTGGTTAGCGTAGCATACTTTTGACTTGAGCTTCAACTAGGGTGACCAGACGGACTTATTTACCCGGGACAGTCTCAGTTTTGAGTCCTGTGTCCCCTGTCCCATCAGATTTATCCAAAACCAGTAATTTGTCCCAGTTTTATACAAAAAATGTCCCACTGTCCCTATTTTTGACCAATTTGATCTAAACCAGGACTAAACTAAGATTAAAGGACTACATCAGGTCTAAACCAGGACTAAAACAGTAATATCACAATTTTTTACTAATCTGAGCTTCGCTAGTAGTAAAGAGAAGCATAAATTGTCATTTGTTTTGCCAAAATACAGAAAACCGTGTTTGCGAATGACCATAAAGACCACAAGAACCTCCTATTATGATTGACAAGAGAATGCACAATCTTACAACTCTTTTCACAATTGTATTTAATTTTCTTATGTATTTAGTTTATTAATGAGACAGGGACAGTGCACATTATCTATTAACCTTATCATGAGAGATGCATTGTGCCAGATTGTAGCATTAGAGCTCATTTCCACCTTTAGTCCGTGGTGTATGTTTATTATTATTATTATTATTATTAGGTTTAAGGATTTATTTATTATTTATGTATATATTAATTTATTTATTTATACCAAACATCCCAACCCGGGTGTGTCCCTATTTGGAGTTTTGAAAATCTGGTCACGTTAGCATACTCTTGAGTTTAGCTTCAACCAAAACAACACAGTCTTTTTAAAGTTTAGTTTCTCCCATCGATCTCAAAATGCAAATAGGGAGGCAAGATATTTTGGGGCATTTTTTTGTATATTTTTTTAAAATTATTATTATTTTATTTATCAATTTTTTTCCTTTATTTGAGTTTGTGCTGTTTAGTTTCATTCTGGCCTTGGATATTACCATTACGCTGGAAGTGGTAAGTCTTGCTTAGTCTTTCAGCACTGTAGCAGAGCATGAAGTGTTCATATACGGTAACATAGTTTGATGTTTAAAGTTGGGTGACCAAAACCATTGATTTGTCCCAGTTTTATACAAGAAATCTCCCTGGTGTCCCCATTTTTGACCAATTTTATACCAGCCAACAGTAAAGAGAGGCATACATTGTCATTTGTTTCAGTAAAATACAGAAAAGCTGCTTAAAAATGACCAAAACACTAAGAAAATGTGACTATATTGACTCACATGTTAGTCATGAGTGGTCTCTGTATAACAATTTACGCACTTGGTTCACAATTGAATTATTACTAACTACCAAAAAAACGGGGATGTCCCATTTTTTTAGTTTGAAATTCTGGTCAATGAGGTTTTATAAGAGTTGGGTAGAATCATAATGTTTTCAGATGGTGTATTTCAGGGTTGAGAACTGATTTGCTGTCATTTGAGGACACTTTTTCTGCTGCTACCCCTTCTGAGGCCTGCCATGGCTCATATATGCACTAAATTTCTTGCGAACACTAAAATTAGTAGCTTTCTGGTATTTCTGTTTGGAAAAAGTAGCTTTCTGGAGGAAAATGTTTGGAGACCCCTGAGACCCCGGACTCTCAGACTGGGACCTGC